AGAGGTTTTTAGAGGGCTGATTTCAATTAAATCCCGATTTTGGTGCGAAAACAAGAAAAATCTTTTTACGCACGAATGAAAATTATAAAAATCCATTTTTTTCTGCTGTAAAAACAAAAGTCAACAGAGAAATGCATTCTTTTGCTGGAATCCAGGCCTAGGACCAAAGAATTTACATATATTAAATTAACGAGATCCAAACTCCTCTACAACAAATATTTATACTGTAAAATATTACAGCCGCATAAATGCATCTCCTTACAATAATAATTCTTAAGGACACAGTATATTAGAAAGCATATGAAACAGTGGATTTCTGTGGAGATGGAATGCTTCATTATCAGAGTACCAGCTTGTTCATAAATATTAAAAAAATATGGTTTTGAAGTTTTTCAAACATGATTCTTATTGTTTACATTGTCTCTCTACTACTGAAAACAACAGTCAGTGTGTACCTGTCCATAGGTCTCTCCCTCACAGTCTCAAACTGCAGACAACAACTGCTTGTGACTGTAAAGGACAACAAAGTCTGTGCTGGACATACACTAAGCAGACAAGGGGACAAGGGGTCTGACCTTACTTATGCAAGTAGTCATGCTTACAGTGATGGGTCTAATTCTTGCTAGAGAGAACAGGATTTGTCCCAAACTGTAGACAAAAGGGTGCAATTCCTTGCTGTATTATGAAAGTGGGTCTTAAATTTACGTGTAAGATAGTTCTTTTCTGTTTGTATACGTTATAGGCACTTCAGTATATTAGATTAGAGATGGTAATGAGTATTCCAAGAGAAAAAGACCTTCCCTACTACTATGAGAAGAATCACTTAAAAATTGCTCAAGACAAACTAACATTATATATCTGGTCTTCATTTGGTAAAAATTAAACTCCTGGATGTGTATTGATCTGCATTACAAAACACCACAAACAACAGATCAAACTTCTGAAAAGTGACCTGTGAGTTACGGAAACAACTGGTTTCTCCGAAACATTTTTTCCCCTGCTCTATTGTTGTTAATCATGGAGAAAAAAAACAAAACAAAACAAAGCAACAAGCTAAAGCACAGAAGAGGAAGACCCACCTTGGCTGCAGCAGTGTATCAGTCTCATAAATTGGGCTTCAGAACAGAACTCTCTATGGGAAAAGAGTGCATGTTTACCCTTGCATAAATAGCTTTTACTAGATGATGAGATCACATGGAGGATACCATTGAAATATAGAAAATAAACATGGTTTAACATGTAGAAAGAGAACTCAAACATCGCAATAATAACTGCAAACGCCTGCTTATTTGAAGAAGAATGTTACCTAATTTACTTTCTCTCAGTTTACAGAGATCTAATTTAAGCTGCTCCCCCTCCCCTTCCAGTTTTAGTGTATTTGCAAGAACCAGTGAACACAGAAATGTGCAGCCAGCCCGGGCCCTCAGGCCGGTGGATCAAGATGGCAGGCTGGCCTGGGCTCCCCCGGGGATAGCAGAGCCAGAAGGGTGATTGGACACAGTGACCTGTCTGCATGAGATGAGACAAAAACAGGAGGGCTGTAATGCTGATGAACTAACCTGTCACTCACAAGCTCAGGTCTGAAAAAAAAAAAAAAAAAAAAAGAAGGAAAAAAAAAAGATGGGGAAAAAATGAAAAAGAAGAGGAAGGTACAGTACAGATTTTAGAAAGCATACAAGGTAGAGAAAATACAGCATAATTGGAATAATTAGATGACGCATTTAATTACCTGTTCATTTAGATGGGCTCAGGATACATAAGGAATATGGCATAAAAATCCAGCTAAGAGTTTCTATAAGAGCAAAACACATTTGAAGAAATAATGGGTATTATGGTTCAGCGTGCAAGGAAGGATGCTACAGACTATTGCTGACAGGGATCGGGGTTTCATTCCAAACACTCCAGTTATGAATCAAAATCACAATGAGCAATGAGCTTCTAGATCTTGATGCACTAGGCAAGGAGGTTGTTCTTCAGAGTACTTGGCTGTTTAATTGTTTGCTTGGGGGAGGAAAAATCCAGAGGGAAGGTATACAAGCAATTCCGCACCTTGGAGCCAGTACACCCAGGTGCTAGGTAATGGTCAGGATTGTAGCACTCTGCCTACCAGTGCCATCGCCAGTGGGAGCCACTGTGGACACGAGCTTGGAGATAGACGAAATAAAGAATATAAAAAAAAAAAAAAAGTGGAAAATGCATTTAATGATGAACAAGTACTCTGTGTTGAAAACGCCTTTAAATCAGCATGCTCCTGCTATTACTTTCGTGTCATACGCAGACTAGCGTTTGAACTACAAATAACTGCTAGTGTTTCTGATCTCCATTGGAGCAGAGATATACATGTATAGTTTGGATTTTTAATTAGGCAAGTTCACACTCCATTAGCAGCAAACAAGACTGAATTTAAAGCTACATCTGCAGGATTAGTCAAAACAAAATTTAGTTCTCACAGCTGGAGAAAAATACAGTATTGAAATAAAAGGGCCAAATGATAAGCATTTATTTAAAGTTTTTGCTTTCGGGGGTTTGAAAGTTAACAAGGACTCTTAAGAACTTTATCTAAAACAATAGTGTCAGGAAATGAATGTCTCTTCTAAAAATATACACATACTGAATATGCAAATCTTTATTATTTATCAATACTAAATATAGGCTTACAGTGTGGAAAGATTTTATGGCATAGGACTTGTCTTTTGATAGTTATTTTCTCTTGTCATCTGAGTATTGGAGTCTATAGAGAAAGTCTATTTCTATTTTCAGCAACATATGGTAATTATACTGATTGCTCTGGGCTTCCCAAGTTTTAAGTAACTCTTATTATACAGCTAGAAAACACATTTTTATCTGAAGAAAAGAAAACCAACATTTTGTTCTATCTTCACATGCAGCTAATAACAACCAAACATTGGACAAGTAATCAAAACAAAAACATACTTGAACATTTTGTGGATTTATGAACACATTTGGATGTGCACACTTACACATATGATATGTAAATATGCACACATACAGCTTTCAAAAAATGTTTGAAACACCTAACATATTAAGTTGCACAATAATAATATCCATAAATTCTGACATAGAAAACCTAAAGAAGTTAGTCACCTAAAATAGTGAAATGTATTTTTCTTTCAAGTGCATGCCCTTGTTATTGATTTTTAGGAAATGAAATACACTAACACACGATATAAACATTTTTCCAGACATTCACTGAACTTTTTTTTTGATTGATGAAATATGGAATGTTGCATACAGAAAAAAACACGCTCCTACCCTTTCCAGCCTCAAAACCACTTTCCGAGAGCTAGCAAGCTTTAAACATAAAATAGGTAACTTATACTTTCTTAGATGCAAAAGCAAAAGTTACATTAAAGAGATATTACAAGCTTTGAGATTTATCAAGGTTTCTGGGTACATTTTCTGTCAAGTGTACTTGCTCAAAACCTTGCCATCATATCTGCCTCAGAATTATTAAATATATTTCTTTAAGACTGAACAAGTTTACACAAAAAGGTAATTAACCCTCTCTAAAATACATATTTTCACACAATGTAATGCTAGCAAACATGCCCCGCTTTTTAGATATGAGCTAGCCTAATAGAAAGCTGTTAATGTTTGGGGGATTTTTAATAAAAAATGTATCTTCTATTTTTAAAATATTTAAAGCAATGAAAGTCTGTGGTAAACATGGTATTACATATTTGACATTTTCCGCCCAGAAATGCATTACTGTGTACGACAGTATTAATAAACCATGTGCTTTGAGGGACTTCTGTGCTTTGCCATAATTTAGTTGAAAACAGTGTGTAGGATGCGTATTTTTCCACCATTGTATCAATGTATAGGAAACACAAATACTATGTCATCACCTCAGCAGCATGCGTTCACTACACTGGAAACATATGCAAAAAAACACAAACTTTTGAGAGTTCAAAAAATACCCTTTGCCAGAGACTGATTTACAAGTCAGTGGTTAATGAGAAAGTGTTGAGCACTTAAAATTTTGTTAGCAAAAGAAAAACAGACACCCTCATCCGACTCCGGCTGCATTCACAGGAAAACAGCCCTCCCTGTACAACAGGACAAAATAATTTAATTTCTTTCCCCACTTCGGGTTATTATTTGAAGCAAATGAAAAGACAATGATTCTTCTCTCTCCTGGCTAGAGCTAGAAACAGCACGGTTAAAACACACACATAAAAACTACAGACTTATCAGAAATCACAAAACAGAAAGAGAAGGACTCACTGACCCATTTGGAAGACAAAGACGACAAAATGGAAAAGCTCTAAAAATCAGCTTGTGAGGCCTTTGAGAGATATTCTTCTGGCATTTCATCACAGCAGCCCCAGACCAGTTCACTTCCCTGGATACAGGGAGGGAGAACTAAATAGAGCTGTTTATTAAAGCTGTTGTGCTGGATTGCATTAGGAAGCACGAGCAGACCACCTGGACCTTTCAGATTGTGGCAGTGTTTAATTTGCAGGCTGCCCCTCTGCAGCAGCAAAGACTACTACATTTACCAAGCTCAATCACACATTATCTGGGTTAGGAGTAAAAGAAGAAAAAAGAAAAAGAAAAAAAAAATCCACAGCCTGTAGTACAGGAATACAGTCAATATAGAAATAATGAACAGCATTAGAAATAGAAAGCAACTCCCCAGCAAACGTAACACTTTTACGCCTCAGTTCTACTTCAGCACATTTAAATAAAATACAACGGCAAATTAATAAATAGATTGATTTGGCAAAGCTCAGACTAAATTATAAACTGGGTTTATTAAAAGAAAGGCATGGTATTTTAGGTTTAACTAGTGATTCCCTGGCCAGATTATTGTGGTTCTTTTGCCTTTCTCACTTTCAGTACTACACTCACTGGTAGCTGAAGATACAGATAGAAAGATGGTACTGTAAATATGAATTATGTGAATCATATGGTTAGACCCTTGTGAAAAAAAAAAAAAAAATAAAAGGGGAGTTGAGAAATGGCTGACTCCATACCTGACCAATTACAGCTTGCATGGTCCCTGTGTCCTGCTGAGCTGAAAGATCGCAATCCATCATATGTAGTCTTTGAAAAGGAGAATGGGGGTTTCTGGCATGCATCTGTCAATCAACTTCTGCACTCACAACCATCACCAAAAGCAAGGGAAAAAAAGTCAAGCTGCTCCACCAAATAGGATGAAACAGTCATGTGACCTTCAGCACACTCACACACATACATACTTCCATACAACGTATGAATTTTCTGCAGATATGAAATGACATTGACAAATACCCAATACCAAGTAAATAAAGTGAGACAAACAGCTACTCACCAAAGACAAAACACTTGCTGTAATCTTCAGCCTAAAGATTTAATAAACCTAAAAGGTATTTTAAACCGAGGCTTTTCTTTTGAGCCTAAACTTTTCAGATAAGGTGATAGAATTTTATATATGCAGACAGTGGTCAGACCTTTAACCCCTCGCGTCCTCTCACAGACTCTATTTTTTATTCCTCCCTTTGTACTTCTAGTTTATGGCTGTTTGAGTTCCTGATTATTTTTTTCTTTAAGTTTCTTTTGTGTCAAAGTGAAGAGGCTTGCATTGCCTTCTTTGGACACGCAGAATTATGAGAACTTGATAGAAGAAAATTGCTAACAGGAAAAAAAGGAGCAGGGGCTGAGAAACCTGTGCCTGTACTCACAAGCCAAAACGTGTCTCACTGTTTTACTCCACCAGAAGTCGAATGTTTTCTTTATTGCAAATATATATTTAAGTATTAGTTTATGTGAGCTGTGATGAGCACTCAAAATATAAAATATTCAGACTATGTAAATCCTACTTACGGAATCCTTTCCATTTTGAAGGTTAGCAGAGTTTTGGTTCATTCACTGCTCCACTGAACTGACATAAAATGTTGTTACTTATGAAGGCAAACATTACCATTTTTTCTAATGGAAGCAGTTTGTTTCATATATCTTCCCCTTTGAGTTAAGATTTGCAAGAATTTCCGAGACTATTTTTCTTCTTGTCAAAATACATCAGCCACTTGTCTCCAAAAACTGAGTGTGGTGAACAACACGCTGCAGCATTGATTGCTGATATGTTATTGGCCAGTGATTGCTGAAGGGTGACATTAATGTAACCCGGTAGCACTTTAACCCTTTGAAGATCAATACGGTCCTCTGGCAATATAGCAGAATAACAGCCCATATAATTTTTGCTGTATTGCAGCTTCATATGAATACTAGTGCATCTTTCTGCCCTCCTAAAATTGCATTTCTGTTACTAGTGCAAACAACCTGCTTTTCATAGGACTGTCAGAAGTAAAAATGCAGAAAAAAAGCAGTCTAGTCTCTAAGCTTAATATAATTCACCCTTTCTATCTTAAGTAAGTTTATGGCAATATTTTGAAGTTGTTATCTCATTTTTAAAGGTATTGACAATATTGATCTTAGCATGTGATAGCCAAAGAAATGTGAGAATATGAGCAATATTCCAATTGTAGGCACAGCACTTGCCAGTCTAATATTTCCTACAATATAATTTTAAGAGCCAACATCCAGGAGTGTTTGGAATGTGATGGAGTGCGTGTGTATATGTGTAGGTATATATGTATATGTATGTGTATATGTATATGTATACATGTGTAGGAGAGAGAAAATTTATGTTGAGGGGAGTGAGATGGGCAGGGAATATCAAGTTTACTTTGCATTATTAGAATTTTTATAATACTTTTTTTTTTTAATTGCTAAGAAAAAAGTTAGGAAAAGAAGGTTTGGTACATAGTTAAAAAATCAGAAACAAGCATACAATTCATATGTAGATGCATGGGGACCCAGAAGTGCTCCTAGGCCAACAAGATATTTTAGCTTTAAAAGTTTTTCAAATCAAGCCTTTTTTAGAGACACATGCAGTATTAACACTAAGACGCTGCCTCTAGGATGAGGAAGGAGTACTTGAAATGGTGCTTCCAACATCTGCTCTGCATTTCACTTATAAACATAATCAAAATGCACCATTTGTGCTGAAATCTTATCTGCTTCTTACTCATGAAAGAAAATACTCTGAACTAATACCTTGGGCTGCCTTTTGGTCAGCTGAGAATTTGCTGCGGTCTCATCCCTGAGGACGATTCTATGGAAAAACCAGGCGGTGTTGTGAAGGCCATAATCAACATTTGTATCATCGCAAGCAATCCAAAACACAACTGGTAAATGGGGGAGTGAGTAGAGGAGGTTGCCTCGACTGTCGCCAGGAAAGCAGACATGCTGAAGGCAAATACTGTACATGAATTTGAAAGGAAAGTTAAGGATGTTTATTTTATAGTTTCTTTTCAGGAGGAGCCTTTTTGCAGTGGATATGCACAAACACCTTTCAAATTCCCTTGACTTATCTAAGCAACTAAACCCGACAATTATGACTGCCGGGTTTTTATGAGCAAGGACACTGACCTAGACATATGTTGCAGCGCACAAATAAGCACAGCACTGTGTGCACACAAATCTGCTGCACCCTTACGCACCAACGAACCAACCAGACGCTCGTGCACACTCAGGCAGAGCTGCAAGAGCTCCTTCCTCCCAAAGTAAGACATATGCTGCCTCTCTTTTTACCATGATTAACCTGATCTTCTGGGAAATGCCAATCTACTCTGTAAAATGTGAAGCAACATCCCTGCAGCTAATGCCTCTGCGTAAGTCATGGCATCACTGTTAACCTGGGCAGCTGTAAGAGCCTCCTCTGCTACCCCTGGAGCTGCCCTTACCTCTGTGGAGCTGGAGACCTTTTCCCTCAACCAAATCTACCTGGTTCTGTAGGGGCTGCACAGCTGGTCCCCAGGGACCGTCCCAGCTTCAGCTCGGGCCATTCCCCAAGAGGTGTCAGTCCAATATTTCTTTTTACTCTCTGTGAGGAATTGTCTCCCTAGACCCCCCAAACACTTCATTGCTTTGCTGCTTGAAAGGTGATTTAGCTCTCCCATCAGCAGCCAAAAATGTGAGGAAGTGAGGTAGCTCTTAACCTGCCTCGTCAGACTTGGGTAAAGAGCAGGGTGCCAAGGGGAACTCAGCAGGCCAGGTTTGCTCTAACATTGCCAACTTGAGGAAAATTGTTGAAGGACAGAATGACAAATATTGCTTCCCAACCAGTTGTGCTGTATCCCTAGCAGACACCTTCTGGTCTCCTTTGAAACTTTTTATCTGTGGCCCTCCCTCAGCATACCCAAGAGGAAAATGATTATGGTGCCACAGCAATACATAGCAGCTATGCCTTCCTATATGCCACTACAGCACTTGGCACAAAGGGCCAGGTTTGCACTGTTGTACCTGAAATTATTGAGAGGGGGGCAATGATCAAGGCTTACACGTGGAGGAGGCTCCATTATCACTTAATCTGTGAAAGCGCAAATTCAAAGTAGTACAAAGCCTGTCTTTTGAGCGGCACACTGGATCTCTCGCATCCAGGAAAAGTGGTAGCCTCTGGAGACACTAAATACTTTCTCCCTTTCAGATTCTGCTTTTTTCTCTGATCAGTTATCTGCAGTATACTTTCCCTGTTTAATTGAAACCATAAAAAATTAAAGTGGCACTTTTGAATAGAATAATGAGCTTGAATTTACCTCTCAGCTATAAAGCTAAGAACTTATGAAAATAGTATTACTGTATATAATACTTTCTCATCTTTCTTCCAGGAGAATATATATTGCCTGTGTGAGAAAAGCAAGATTTAGAATTACACAGCAATGCAAAACACAATTACTTCATAGTTAAAATGTGTTAAAACACACATTTATTTTTTAATGCTCATTATTTATGATCGTTTATGGTTCCTTGCCTGAGCAGCTACGAGCCTTGTGATCAACAGAGCCCGGGGTTTTACTACAATACCTTTACGCAGTTGCTCACATGCCATAGCAGAACTTGCAGCAAATTTAGCGAATCGAGCAAGAGATCCTCCTGCTTCTTACAGCATTGGTACACTAGGGGGACTATTTTTCCTCTTTTCTGGAGTGATGGATGCACAGCACGGTCAGAACAAGCTGTTGTACCTCACACTACAGGCCCTTTACTCACCAGTGCTGAACAGGTTAAGCACGCAAAGCTCGGTCTTGCACTCTTTGAAGATAAACAAGCCTAATTCTAAGCTGTCAATGGGTCTTCCTCCCTCTCTCCCTCTCTCTATCCATCTCTGCCAACCAGATACTATATTGCATTTTGCATCTTGATTTTCATGGATATATTGAGTGGGTTTTCCTTATGAGAATAATTCTGCTCTCACTTATGCTGATTCCTAAAGAATTGCTTTGTATTAAGAGGCACTAATGGATTTCAGTCTCTCTCTGTGCAAGTCCATTCTGGTCAACAATTTTTGTTTTTCAAAAGGGAATTTTGCTATTAAAAAAACCACCCCACCTGCTTCTAATTTCTGCCTCTCCAGATTTTATTAATGCATAATTTCTGGGTCCCTTCCACTGCCCCAGAGCCCCACTTTTCATAAAGTGAACTCCTAGGACATACTCACTCACTTTGAGGACTGCACTTCCTTCCCTTCATAAGCACTTGGCTGTATCATGGAAAGTAAATTCGGGAAAAGAAGATAATTCTGTGCCTAAATTGCTGGAACAAGGCCTAAGCATAATGTACATTTTACTCGTTCCTGTGCAGCCAGTGGAACGGCTCCCTTTCCCACAGCACTATCCTGCACTGTCTAAAGACAATTTCTGCAAAAGATCTTTCTTTCTCTTTGTTATTTTAGCTTGCAATCATGCTTTCTATCTTGGGGAAGGTGGGAATAAAGTGACCCCCTTTCCTGCTAGATCTAACAAGCTGGTTTGGTTGAAAACTAATTTTTGTGTCTCAGGGAGTTTAATAGGTCTTCTAGGCTCCTGATTGAATTAGAATGTATATAAGATGGAGGGCACTCCCTAAAAAAAATATCTAGGAAATGGGACTGTGGTTTCTTCTATCTACATAGTGAAGAGACAGCACCTTCCTCTTATACTCTTGTGTGAAGTGATGGGAGGTGATTACAGCAACGATGCTGGAACCTAGTTAGTCGGATGACAAGCTAATATCACACCTCTCCCAGGTGAAATGGACTTGTGGAGCAAAAACAAGCCAA